GGCATCACAGGAGGTCACTTTCTCCTATTCCCAGGGTTCAGGAGCAGTGGGATGTGCTCTGCAAAGAGGGTGCAAAGCCAGCAGAGCCAGCTCAGGTGCCTTGGGGAGGCTCTGGGCACCAGAAGGACACAGAGGGGACAGGAGCAGCTCCTCAGGGATGAACAGAGGAGCTCAGGAAGCAGAGTCAGCTCATGGCTCCAACATCTCCAAACAGGACAGGCTGGAGCTGCTTAAACAATCCCTCCCCCCTCCCCAGCAAATGTCAGCTCYTCTAAACCAACAGCGCTTGCTGACTGCTTTGCTCGGTCTCTGGAGCTGCTAAAGACTTCTGGGGAAGCAAGAAATCACAGATGCCCACGTGTTCCATTTTAATGAAAAAATAAAAATAAAAAAAAACTAATGCTTCYTTTCAGAATGACTTCTTATTTTGAAATCTCAAGCAAGCAATTTGCTAAAAACCGAAATCAAACCCCAAAACGAGGACTTCCGAAGTCTAAATGAATCATTCTCCAATTACCAAATGGAATCAGTCCCTTCCAGAACAGCTTTCAAGCACATTTCTTATTAAAAAAAATAATTGGCCACTGCAGGCTGGAGGAGAAAAAAAAAAAAAAAAGAAGTTTTGAAATATCACAAGTTCTCCCAGAAAATGGGACTGTTTTCCTCTCTGATTGCAATTAATGACCTGCCAGCCAAGGAGTCCCCAGACCAGCAAGGGCAGATTCCAGAGCAGAAGGAGGCTGCTGCCTGGGGGTGCATCCTCCTTTAAGGACAGCTTGTGTGTGTTCAGCTGYTCCTCTTGGAATTAGATGGATGAAATGAGGCAGCAAAGACAAAATTTGGGAGTGGCACTAACAGGGCAGAGGCTGGGACAGGTCCCTTTGCACCCAGCAGGGATTTCCCTGTAATAAAATGTTGTCTGACTCTATAGGAGCGCTGATTTTCTGCCTGAATTTCCATTTTTTGGCAGCTGGGGTGTTAAAAACAGGAGAGGAATATGGTGCAGGGCTGAAAACCTAATGAGGTGACCACATGCACGGTGATCAGTGAATGTGCATAGATTCCCAGAATGGTTTGGGTGGAAGGGACCCTCAAAATCATCCAATTCCAACCCYCTGCCATGGGCAGGGACACCTTCCMCTRYCCCAGGGTGMTCCAAGCCYTRTCCACCCTGGCCTTGGACACTTCCAGGGACAGCCACAGCTTCTCTGGACACTCTGTGTGAGGGCCTCAACACCCWCAYARGGAGSATTTTCTTCCCAATATCCAGTTTGGAATTAGGGAGGGCTCTTTCAGTTGCTGAAGGGYTTATCCCTGCTCTGGGGGTAGAGAGTCTGAGGTATTTCTGCCCTTCTGTATGGGAGTGGGAGGAAGAGGAGGGTCACATTCTGGGTATGGATGAGACAGGAGCAACTTTACAGGGGGATTAGAGGGGTGGTCAGATATTAGGATTAGAGAGGTGGTCAGATACTGGGATTAGAGGGGTGGTCAAATATTGGGATTAGAGGGGTGGTCAGATATTGGGATTATAAGGGTGGTCAGATATTGGGATTAGAGGGGTGGTCAAATATTGGGATTACAGGGGTGGTGAAATATTGGGATTAAAGGGATGGTCAGGTATTGGGATTACAGGGATGGTCAGATATTGGGATTACAGGGATGGTCAGATACTGGATGGCATCTTGGACAAGAGCTGCATCTAACACAGAAAGAAGCTGCTGAATTCATTTCACGGTGCAGAAAACTTTGTTTTGCTCTCACCCCTCTGTGCAGCCCCATTTGGGTTGGTGACATTGCTGTGACCTTGCAGCAGGCCCCAAGTGCCAGCTCGTGGCTTTGCAGCCTGGTCCCTCACCAGCCCCTCACAGCCCCCACAGCCACCCAGAGCCACATTTCCAATTTACACCCAGTAAATGATTCATTGCCACCTAAAGAGGCTGAGCAGAGCCCGGGGAGGGAGCAGAGCTGGGAGAGGGAGGGGGGACAAGATCGGGGTAAAGATACGGAGATGMAAAGCTCCGGTGACCTGCTCCGTGTCAGCTCCTCTTCTCGGGGCAGAARCCAATCAATCCTCCCCCCCTCTCTCTCCTGAGCAGTCTGTGGGTCTGTCTGTCTCTCTCTCTCTCTCTCAGAGGACTCGAGTTTCTCGGTGTAAGGTTAGGACAGCAGAGCTGTGGAAATCGATTCCCGAGCCCTGGCAGGCCGCCCTCGGCACAGACAGCCCTGCTCTGCTGGGAAAAGATGGATGGGGAGCCATCCACAGAGCTCTCAGGTGGTGGGAGATGAGGATTGTTGGAAATTGGGGTCTGGGAAGAGGGGTTGTATCAGTGTGGAGTGAAAATCCCAAAATAAGAGAGATGTGCACSGGAGAAACAAAAATTCTGTGACCAYCGGGCAGTTTTCACCTCTCCCAGTCCATCACTGCTCCTGCTGATGGTTTTACTGGAGGAGAATGAGTGAACAGCATGGCTTTGCCCACAGWTCTGATTTCCAGCCYCACTCTGCSCCCTCCATCCCTTCCACGAGCTCCCACATCCCTGGATTCATCCCTGCACTGGGAATCCCCTGGGATTCCTGACTGGGATCGGGGAAAAAAGAAGGGACAGCAGCCAGGAGGGGAAATGTTTATGGCATGTTCCCCCAGGAATTCTCGTGCAGGAGCTGTTGATGACATCTCCCACCTGAGGAAAAGTCTGTTAATGAATCTTAAGGGGTTCTGATGTGCAAAAATTTCTAATAAGAGATGCAGTATTCCAGATTTACCCTGAATATCCTGTGCAGCCAAAATTTGAGTGGGATGTAATTGGCTCCTTTGCTCTCAGGGCTGCCCAAAAGGGTGAGGAAAATGAGACCCAGAAAGGAGCACCTGAGGCTGCACCGAAAACCCCTTCCAAACTAGGAGTGAAAATCAGATTTCCTGACTGCGAGGACAACTAGAGGGAAGGAACAGATTTGAAGTGGGATTTTGATAACATTTGCCTTCAAAGTGCTTCAGAAAAACCCCACAGGGAATGAATCTCAGTGACCCTGCTGCAAGGTACACGAATAAGAGGTGTTTCTCTTTTTCAGATAAGGAAACAGAAGTGAAATGACCAGAGGGAGGAGGGCAGGGGGATGCTGCCATCAGCCAGGTCCARATTCCAGCCAAACCTCCCTGAAGGATCTTCCCTGTGCAGGGAATTTTTGTTTTAACCCAATCAGTGCTGCCATCCCCACCCATCACCATTTCCAGTACCCCTCAGGATGAGCTGCTGCACACTCTGCACTTGTCCCTGCCCCTTCTCTCTCTCTTTTTGGGGATTTATTGCTGCAGGTATTGATTGCTTGGTGCCACTGACCCTGGATGGAAGGAGATGAAATAGCCAGCATTGCTGTGGTGCAATCAATGAACAAATTCATGCTTTCCTGTGCTGCTTRCATGCATCTGTGCTGTCCCTTTCACAGCAAAACACAGAGTGTCCTGGGGGATGGAAGCAGGGGGAGATGGGATGGGAACACACTACAAAGCTCTGCATCAAATTGAAATATCGTCAGGTCAGCAGTGTCAAAGTTTTCTGGGCTCTTACCCACCAAACTATAATCCAGAACTGGTTTGCCAAGGTTCTCTTGAACAATTCCAGAGCGTGAGTCACATTTTTTGGACRTGTTTTGGGATGGATCCCCCAGACCTGATTTGAAATTAGGCAGGCTGTCATGGTTTTGGATGAGGGTCACACAAAGCTGACAGAAGCAGAGCATTCCGAGCAGCGACAGAAGGTTGGAATATGGTCCAGGTTTGTTCCCTTCTGTTCCAGCAAGGAGAGGTGGCAAAGTCTATCACTTCAACTGGATCCCTGTCTCCACCTGGAGAGTTTGCAGTGCAACAGGAGGAATTCAGAGGTGAGCTCAGAGGGTGGAGACCARCACACTGCAAGAGCAGGGCCCTTAAAAAAACCCTCCAAAGGCTGCCAAGGACATTGCAAAGCTTGGAATGACAGCACCCTGGAGAGCTGGAGAGCTGGGCTGGACAGATCCACTGCACTCCCCAGCCACTGTCTCTGCTGARTTCTTGGCAGAGGAGACCTCCCTGCCACTCACAGCCAGGAGCTCAGCCAAGCTGACACCTCCATCTCCACGGCTTTGGCACGGGGCTCTCTGCAGGAGGAGATCGCTCAGGGAAAGGCTGCAGAGAGGCAACTTGGAGATCTATGACATCATTAAAAAGCCTAAGGAAAAATGAGCCCACRAGCTGACATCCCAATCCTGAGGACACCCGGATCCAGCACTCCTCGTGAGGCAGTGCACAAACCAATGCAATAAAATAATGGAATAGTGGAATGAGGTCCCCTCTTGGCCAAGAATATGGGCAGAGACACATTTTCTCATCATCCTATCCAGATAAGACAAAAGAGCAGTTTGACCCCTTTGTGCTCTTTTGCACAGTTGAATTGAGCCACACAGGACAAACCCTCGGCCTSAGGGTCAAGGTTTCTCCACTGTGAGCATACAAACCACAAGATCCTAATGAAAACTGCCTTGGAGTGGATCCCATGTTGTTTACAGGGATCTGATTCCTCTCTAAGAGTGATGGAGATCACAACAAGGCCAAAAGAGGAGAGTTCAGGTCAGCAGTGAAGAGCTGGAGGTGCTGAGACAAAGGTTACTGGTCAGAGTCAAATTATCTTAAGGAATGGGAACCACCAGGAAAATGTCACCCAGAGAAGAGCTGCTGGAGGSCTGCACTCAAAGCACATCAGGCTGCTTCCCTGCTGCAGCCAGCAAACTGTGGATCAGGTGGAGAAATTCTGTCCAGCCTCTACCATCCTTCCTCCCCCTTGTCATCCAAAAAAAACCCCTCTCACTCAACAAAACTCCCCGGCAAATCCCAGAGATATTTTTGGAGGCACCAGGGGTCAGCAGGAGACTGAGACAGCATTTTGCACCTCTAGCTGTGTCACCACGAGGGAAGGATTTGGGGGAAGGCAGGGCTGGAGCAGGGACAGAGCCCAGCAGGTACTCACGTGTTGTGMAGGACGCACCATCCGCAGTGCGGGTCTCCCGAGCCCAGGCACTCGCTGCAGGTTTCGTACTGGCTGCATGACTCCACGGGCACCCTGGTGAGCTGCAGGAGGAAAGGGATAACCTGTCAGGCTTCTCACAGGGCTCAGAATAGCTTGGTGGAGGTGCCACCCTCCCTGTCCCCTTCCCCTGGATGTGGATGTTGTTTTCTCCACAGCTAAACTGGAGAAATCCCCATCCATATCCTGTTCCACATTCCCTATGTCCTTTCCCTCTTCCCCACGGCCCTTCATCCATTACCAAATCACTTCACTTGCCAGATTTCCCAGCAATCAGCAAATCAGGCAGGCTGGAGGGGCATGATACCTTGAAATTCAATTAATTCATTTCAATTGATCTTCTGCAGCAAGTTAAACTCGCTGGATCTCATTCATATCTCTGGTGGTGCATTGCTTTCTGGATTCCTGTGAGAGCTGAGGTGGTGTGATGTCTTTGCCTCCCTCCCATGACCTCCTGCACCACCAGTCCTCACAGCCACCACCCCTGGAAAATGCTAGAACCATTCTGCATCACCTCTGCATCTCTCCAACCATCACTGTCCCATCCCTGGAGAAGCTGCTCCCAGCAGGAAAAAGATAAAGGGAGGTGCCACCCTCCCTGTTCCCTTCCCCTGGATGTGGATGCTGTTTGCAACAGAGCTCAACCTGGTGCAATCCCCATCCAGACCCTGCTCCATGTCCCCTGTGGTCTTTTCCTCTTCCCCACGGCCCTTCATCCATTACCAAATCACTTCACTTGCCAGATTTCCCAGCAATCAGCAAATCAGGCAGGCTGGAGGGAACGTGGTACCTTGAAATTCAATGAATTCATTTCAATTGATCTTCTGCAGCAAGTTAAACTCACTGGATCTCATTGATATCTCTGGTGGCCCATTGCTTTCTGCCTTCCTGTGAGAGCTGAGGTGGTGTGATGTCTTTGCCTCCCTCCCATGACCTCCTGCACCACCAGTCCTCATGGCCACCACCCCTGGAAAATGCTAGAACCATTCTGCATTGMCTCTGCATMTCTCCARCCATCACTGTCCCATCCCTGGAGARGCTGCTCCCAGCAGGAAAAGGATAAATGCGACCAGAGTGGACATTTTCTTGCTCTAACCATGCTTTTGCAGCCCAGGAGGCTTTAGAGTAGGACCCGAAACACCCATCTACTGCCAAAACACCACATTTTATCATCTATTTCTCTTTTATTTTTCCTTTTTAATTAAAGTATCTCAGTGAGAGGTTTCAAAGGCAGAAGGGACTGCCCAGCCTGACCTCCTGTCTCACAGACCAGAGCTTTTGATTCCTCTCAGGTTTTGTGAGCCCCTCACAGCTTTTGAAGCCAAACACACAATTTGGGCCCAATGACCTAAAAGTCTCTTTTCCATTGAAAAAAAAAGCTTCAGAGAGCCTCTGTAATATCCAGTCAATTGCTGGTGTCTTCACCCCAGTTGCTGTCAGCAGGGAGAGTTTATTCCCTCAGATGATGGAGTGTGGTATTATCCTGATGAAAAACCACTGAGAGCTGCCAGCTCTAAACTGCAGAACAGTTACTCCTGACAAATGATGAGGGAACACACCTGGATCCCAGGGACAATTTTTTTACTTGGCACAACATTCAGGAGAGTTTGAGCTGTGAAGTGACAGATTAAGATCCATCTTGATTTCGTCTGTAAATGAACCAAAAACTGGCGCTTTTTTTCTTTTTTTTTTTCAATTTTAATATAAATATCTATCAGGCAAAATTCCAGCTCTATACGAAGACTTTTTCAACTTGTATCAGAAATTGTTTTTCTCACCCCATCCACAAATCCCACGTGATAGTTGATAGTAAGTAGTTTATATAAGCAAAAGCTGARAATGTGCATTTTTGCCTCTGGCAAGTGGCAGAAGCTTTAGAAAACTTCAGGTAAAAACACGGTGGGGTTTATTTACCATTGCACCCCTGCCTGTGCCAAGTCACCCAGAAAAACCAACTGTGGCTACTGAAAGCCTTTAATAAAGAAGTGAGAATGAGAGGAGAAAAACTGAAAAAAAACCACCAACACAAACTCGCTTTTCTCAACTGAATCTTTTGCCATGAGCATAAAAAAGTAACCAGGACAGACCACAGAGCAATAAAAGTTGTAAGAACAAACCAGGGAGAGAGTCATTTAAACTCCTCTAATTATGGTGGCCTTGGAAGTGATGAGTTAATGCTTGGATTTGATGACCTTAAAGGTCTTTTCCATCCTATGATTCTCTCAAAAAGTTTCAAAATTAAGATGGTTTGGCCATGAATGAGGTTGTTCCACCTTCTTTAAGCTTCTGATCAAGAAGGTATCACCTTTTCATGAAGTATCAATTTTATGCCACAGGGCTTCACCCAATTAAACTTGTTGAACACAATAACTGTGTTGCCTCTAAATCCCAAAACCACACAGATTTATTTACAAAAATATACCAAAAGGCGGAGAAATTATAATTTGTTATGTCGGCCATTCCCAACTCTTATTTCCACCTGAGAAAAAATAAATTGTGAGTTATTTTATCTCAATCACATCGAGCTTGGCCACGTCTGCACTGTGGCCACCAGAGGACTTGCAGAAGAGGCAGATAATTCAGTTTGGAAAGCCTGCAAATCCACCTTTCCTCAATCCAGACACAATTCCCACCTGGCAATTAGAATTTTGGGAGCACAGTTGGGTTTGGCTCTGCAGTTCCCACCCAAACTACCCTCAGTTTGACATATGGTGCTGCTTGATTTATCCTCATTAGCTCTAGATAGCTTCATCCAACCTCATTTCTGAGCCAGTTCATGCCTGGCTGATAGAAGTGAGTCTTGGTTAAGAAGTTTAGATCAGAACATGAACTTTTTCGACACCTGGTGATCCCAGATTTGAATGTTCTGAATCAAAATCCACCTGTGGTTCTGATAAATGCACAAGAAAGAAGCCCTAGAGGACTGAAATTTGTTATTTCTTTGCAAATTGTTATTAAAAAAAGTAGATAAAATGTGATCTCTGTGGGTTTTATTATTATTATTAGTTAATTAGCCATCAAAGGATATCCAAGCTTGTACCACTGGCAGGAGGAACCCACTGGGAGCCCTGATCTTCATCTTTGCAGAAATGTTTTCTTTCCAGCATGTTTGGGTATATTTTGTGGGATTGGTGTTGTTTTTAGGAGCACATCTGTCTTGTGCTGCTGTCCCAGAGACCACAGGGATGTGCCATGAGCTCCCCACACCCTGCCAAGCCCACCTCAGTGTGTCCCATGTCACCACGTGTGTTATTCCTGCCCTAGAAGTCCCTTTAACAAGTTCACCTCAAGCAGCTTTATTGTGAGATTAATTAAAACTGTGCCACGCTGACAAATGTCTCGGGCTGGAAGTGTCAGACCTTCCAATTAATGCAGAAAGAAACCACAAAAAAAAAACAAAGGAGCTGCAGCTGAAAGAAAAGCCACCTAAGGGTCGTCTGCTGAAAAGAGGAAGAACATCAAGCAAATAATGCACATCAGAGGTCTTATTTTCCTTTCTGGAGCGTGGACTGTAATTAATTCAGCTCAGCATTCCAAGTTGAAGGGTTGGAGAGCTGACTCTGTCCCTCCAGGGAACAGCCAGCTTTTTGTGATGCCACTAAAATGTCAGGGAATGGGAAGTCCATGGAGCCTCCCAATTACAGAGCCTTGCCATTATTCATTGGGATGAAGGGACTGGGCAGTGATGAAGATTGAAATCCCCAAGACAAGCCAGGCTGTGGCTGCTCTTTCCACCCTTTTCCATCCTTGGAAAGTCTGACAAACTCTTCAAGGTTCTTTCCCAACCTTGGTGAGG